TCTCAGATAGGATGTGACTGGATTGGAATACTGCTGTGCTGTAGGAAATGATGGGCTGGTTGATTTAGAAAAACATGGAAAGACTTGGGACCTATGAAGGAAGATGCTATCCACCCTCAGAGAAACAGATGGCAAGTGGAAATAAGTATAGTACAGTCTTACATATATGTGTATGAATATAATGCATATATATTTATATGTTTATAGATACCTGCATTTATATAAAAAATTATCACTACACTTAATTGTAGCCTTCTTTGGGGAGGGGTCGGGGGGAATAAAGTAAAAAGTGCATAGCAGAGAACAAAAGAAAACCAACAAGGAAGCAAAGAAAAGCTGGCAGCTTTGAGAATGATTTTATTATATAGGTTCTCTTGAAATGGAAATTTACTGTTTTATATTGAATCTTCTCATGTTCTCCTCATTTTGTATTTAAGTTTAAAACAAAAAAAGTCTATATTAAAAAAAAAAACTCTACACACTGTAATTATAATGACCATGCTTGGGCCCTGAAGAATTGAGAAAATCAGCTTCCTCCCTTCATGGCAGGGGATTTGGTGTGGAATATTTGTCAGACACAATTGACATGGTTTTGTGAACTGCTTTTTCTTTTGTTTCAGAAATGGATGATGTAAAAATAGAATATTCTTTTAAAATACTTGGGGTTCTGAGAAGTTAAGTGAATTGCTTATGGGCACACAAGTCAGTACTTGAATCTGGAACTCTAAACCACCTACTGTATTGTGCTGACAGCTAAAATAAAGCAACAATAATCAATAGTTCCCTATCTTATTCATTGTTAACTATTATTCAGTTGCCAGAAGTGGGATTATTAGGGTATTTCAGACAATCCTGGCACCACAGACGATGCTAGAAATTATTGCCCCTCTGAACCTCAGTTCAATTCTATTACACTGAGTGAGAACTCTACAAAAGAGCCATTCTTAGCCATATTACAACTTATATCAATAATTTTCTTCCTCCACAGCTCACTAAAGATAATTCAGGCATCAACAGGAATGTTACAGAATGAATTTTCATTAGGAAATCTTGGTCCAAGAACATCACCTCAGTACTTTTGTTCTATGTCCAGGTCCCACATATTACAAGTTAAGCTCTTGACCTACCACCCTGTTATTTCTGGGTATTCACGTACATTGGGCATAACTGTTGTCACTAAAGGAACGTCACAGAGAAATGAGATGAGCCAATCTGACTGAAAGTATTAGGCACTTTTATTTGGTGCCTAAGTGAAGGCCAGGGAACTTCATTGGAGACACCCAACTCAGTATGGGGAAGGTGTGTGTGTGTATGGTTGTAGAGTACTGGGGCAGTCCAATTACCATACATCCCAGAATCCTCCAAAGCAGAATAGGAAAAGGCATGGAAAGGATATAACCAAGAATGTAACTAGGATGTTTCTAACAAGATGGTGCTATTCAGGTCCAGGAATGAGGAAGAGGAGTCCACAATGATATTTAGATTGCTCCCAGGATTTGGCATATGGTTCCACCAAGTTCTTGCTGGTAACTTCTAGACCCATCTCCCCTCCATGCTTCAGGGGGTTAGGGTTAGCACAGGGGTTTAGTGTTAGGGTACTGTTCAGGAAAGTCTGACTGGTTTCTTGCCTCTAAGAACACAGATAAGAAGGCATCAATAATCCAGGAAACTGGAAGTTCCTGTATTGTAAGTTTCCTGGTATAGAACATCCAGATTGGGTGATGGGGGGACAGAGAGGTACAGCAACAGGACAGGCAGGAGGGATTGTGGCTACTCCACAGAACTTGTTGGACAAAAACTCGATCACCCAAACCAGTGTTTATCCCACATAAGCAACAAAGCAAGTAGAAGAGTATCAACCTTTCTCATTATTATTCAAGCTCCACCTTCATTTTGACTCCACAGCCAAGGACCTTGAAAGAATTAGGCTCTAAGAAATTTTAAAGAAACTGAAAATGGAAGCCAAACCATGCTGTTGGTATGCCCCCACATCAGATGCCATCTCTCTAACTGTGAAACTAGAACAGACCAGTAGTTCTTAATCTAAGTACTACGTACTAAGCAGGTTCGTGAACTTGGATGAGAAAATATTACATCTTCATTTCAATATAATTGGCTTCCTTTGTAATGTTATATATTTTATTCCTCAAAAATATTGTTTTGTGAAGGGGTCCATAGATTAAACCAGACTCCCAAAGTGGTCCATGTCATTTAAAAAAAAACAAACTATTAACTAGAAAAAGTTTTGTAGGGTAATAAAATAGTTATGTGGTCATACAAAAGGGAAACCTGCCTTCAAAAATACTTTAAAATGTTAGACAACCAACTCTACTTTACCATGACTGATCTCTAGACCAGTGTTCCAGGATACAAACAGATCCTTTCTCAACTTAAATAGGAGGGACAGGATCTTCACTCTCAGTAAACTGCTTAGTTATCATCCAATTTGCCTTTGTATGCTCAGATACATTATCCCCACTGTAGACTCTATACAATGTCTGTTTAGACCTTGTCTGGGATTTTAAGAGTCCAGCTCAAAGTTCTATTCTATTTTCAGCTGGCTTTCTGATTGTTCTGCCCTTTGTGGAAAAAAATTTACAAAGATATTCACAAACGAGTGAAAAACTTGCTTATTCTATCACGGAAACTATCAGTTTTTAAATTGGCTAAAACAAGTGTTTCAAATCATATGCATTTAAGTGTTATGCACAGATGGCAACTCATGAGACAAATTATCTTTTCTTTCAAACTAACACACCAACAATAAGCTGAATAATAATATCCTTAACATTTTATTTGTTTCTCTTTTCAATTCTCTCTGGTTTTATGGAAATGCCAGCTGTATCCATCTACCTATCTACCCACCTATCTATCTGTCTATCTGTATGATGCTGTATTTCATTAATGTCAATTTTGTTGTATTGAGAACTACATTTAATACAGATTGAACACCATTATAACAAACCACTAAAATGTATTCCAGGAAAAAGATTTTAGAGATATAAAATCTAGAATAAGCAAGCAAATGGTGTCTGGTGTCCCAAAAGTCTTAGCACAAGTTCAAACTATTAAGGCTTATTTAAAATTCAAAAAATCTGCATAAAATGTATTAATTTTTCCAGCTCTAGTAAGTTATAACATAAAACTGGTACTTTAAAAAAAAAACTTAAAAAATAACTATTAAATTAGTTTCAAAATGTATACTAGCTGGAAGACCATATTTCAAATAATTAAATTATAAGCATACAATCTAAATGTTTTGTCATGGCAATGACCAATATTATTGTACTATATGAGAAGCCTGCCTCATCAAAACCAAAAATTGAGTCTTTAAGTCTTAATAACCAGAATATCTCACCATTTAAATTAATAAAATAATCATTTCCTACGCTTATCAAAAGTTTTAAAAAATACTTAGGTACAATCACTCTATTGAGAAAAAAGTTTCCTTGTCTCATTAAGGAAGAAAGCAAATGAGTTTTCTAGTTTTTTGCTAACTGGAGTCAACAGTTTTTGCTATAATTGGTTAAATGTTTCAAAATAGGGCATGTCTATTATTAAATTAATATGTAGAACAATTCTTGCTTAAATGTAAGAATACCACTTTACATTTTTATCATGTGTTATAATTTTCTGCCAATATATCTTCTCTGTCCCCCAATAAAATCCACCATTAGACAAAGGTGAAGCACAGCCCAAATGAAAAATCCCATCACTGACTGTGTCTGCATACACACCACATTCTGCATTGTTAATCTCCCACCTCTCCACTGAGAAGAAAGAAACATGTGCTTCATCTGTCTGTCCTCTAGAATCAAGATCCAATGCATTTAACCAGAATTCAGCTACCTTACAGTGTTACTTGCATTTACATTATTGCAAGCCATTGTCTATACCATCCTCCTGGTTCTGATTATTGTGCATTAACTCAGCCAAATGTTTGTTTCTCCGAATTCCCCTTATCTGTCTTTTCTTACAGTACAAGAATACTCACAGACCACAATTTGTTCAGCAATTCCCTCAAATCGCAGGATCAGAGATTTAAAGCTGGAAGGCACCTTAGAGGCAAACCCCATCATTTTACAGATGAGGAGAACGAGACTTGGAACACTTTGGGTAACTGGTCCATGATTATACAAACACTTATTGTCAGAGGCTGAACGTGAACTTAGGTCTTCCTGACTCCAAAAGCAGCAAATTAAACATTATACAACACTGCCAATCATTGGATACACACACACACACACACACACACAGAGTATCTAGCAGGTATGCATATATGTGTATATATACATAATAGATATATAAAAGTTTTTAGTATATATACACATATGTATGTGTATATGTATGTATGTATGTACATATTTGTATTATAACTTGTTATTTAACCAGAATATTCAATCAACCAATACATCCTAAACAGGGATCCCAAAATCTTTGCACAGGTTTAAGCTTTAAAGCTTTGGGGTCACCCTGTATACACTATTTGGCAAAGTAAAATTTAAAAAATTATCACATATATGGTTTCACAGTGAAGCACACTGCCTTCCACTCAGAGGAAGGTGCAAGTTTACTTAAGAGAATGTTAAACATATAAAATGTCAAACCTATCTGTATAGAGTAGATGCCACACCAAAAGAAACAGAAGTTATATGCCTATTATTGGGCAGTCCAAGATTTACAAAATCATTTTGAGGTTATTCTGTAACATGGTGAAAGTGAGTATTACAAAACCTTGTAACAAATTAGGAATGCCACTGGCAGACTTCATGAAGTGTTAAAAAACAGGTGGAATATGTGTGCAACCCTTTGAATCAGTGACAATCTATCTCAGCAGCTGGTTTCTGTAAAAACTAAAATCATTAAGCAAGACATTCCTGTGGTTTAACCTGTAACAAGAGGCTCAAACCTCTCCTATAAAATGATGATAACTATATACAACAGATGGCAAAAAAGTTTTAAATTATTACATGAATGACACACAAAATCCTTCTCAAGAATCATGGAAAAGGCATTTTATTCTTAGTTATTTATTTTCATCTCAAAAATGACAGTTAATGCCCAATAAAAAGCAGGTATTCAGCAATATCATTTGCTCATTACAGATTTTTTTTAAAAGTTCACACACTGCTATTCTGATTTTTTTAATATTGATATCTGCATTTTTGGTAAGCATGATAAAGATCTGGGTAGTGAATATAATTATGCTCTCAGAAAAGACTTTCGCTCATGTCCCTATTGATGTGACTTTTAAGGATACCAATCCTCCCCAAGGAAGTCATAGCAATTTCCAAACATCATTCTTAAAAAAACAAACAAACAAACAAACAAACAAACAAACAAACCTCTTAGGAAATAAGTCGGTCACAAATATTATCCATATTTTATAGATAGATTGGGCATAGGCAAATTATAATAACTCAAGTTACATGGCTGTATGGAAGATTATCCACTAACAGAATAGACTTTTCGATTCTGTTTGGTGCTATAGCTACTTCATTAAACCTTAAAAAAATAAAAAGAAAAATTACAGCAAAAAACACATTCAGAAGGAAAATAAGTTAAATTATACAAAAGCAAGACACCCTACACTAGGAGACATAGAGATTTTCATCCAATTACACTATAGCTCTAGTTACCACCTTTAGTAGGACAAGAAAGTATTATATGAACAGGGCTCCAGACCAAATGACTAAGAGTACACAGGGTTAAATGTCAATTTAACATAAAGCCTACATAAAGAATGATCCAAACACTTGGGAACTTAAATAGGATGGATGGATCATGTATGTAATTCTAAATATTATTAAGCACTTCCTTTTGGGAATCCATATAATAATTTACAAGCCATAACATATAAACATGTATATGAAAAGTCAGAGAAGCCAAAACACGAAACAATTGAGTATGCACTGACCTGTTACTTTTAAAATACTGTGTAACTACAAATATTTTAAAATGCTAACATTCCAATCATAAGGTATCTTCTAGTATCGAATAAATTTGAAGAATTCAAATCACCCGTCACTTATTAACAACAAATAGTAGGTGCTTACCATGCTAAGAAATATTCCATTAACCATCAGTCAATTAACATTATCAGGAACAAAAAGTCATAAATGAACTTGCACATTTCCCATCTATTTTCCCCAAATTTTGGGTATCTAAAGAAGTATTAACTAATAATTTGGCTTTTATTACTACTAGATGATCTTAGATGAGTCACCTAATCTCCCTGGGCTGCAGTTTCCTCATTTGCAAAATGAAGGAATTGAGTCGATGACTCCTAAGGTCCTGCTCCATTCAAAAGCCATGCTGCTCATCCAAAAGTTTACAGCAATCAAAAGGCCACCAGATAAGACTTTTAAAGGAAAAAACCTTCACAGAAATAATTTGTATTTGGTCAAATAAGAGGGAGGAATGAACTTAGAAAAGAAAGAAGTTAAAAAGTTAGGAAATCATTAAGTCGGAAGGAAGGAATTTTTTATCATCTACTATGTGCCAGGCACTATGCACTAAGGTCTTCACAAATGCCATTTCATTCATATAAGAAACCCAAAGTACATTAACAACGTTGTGTGTATAGTATCTCTTGACTACAATAATTCTTTTCCTTAGTGTTCTACTCAGTATCCTAATGAGCCACTATGTAAAATCACAAGTTAAAATTCATAAAATAGGGCAGTATGCTACTTTTAGAGTGTATTTCAGAGTAACCTCAAACATTTGACAGGGAGGGAAAAAAAAACCCAACCGAACACACGTCTAGCTTTTTTTTGTCAGCAACCAGAATGGGAACAAGCAGCGCTGACTTTTCAGTGGTAATTTTTAGCTACTGTGACTTGGCTTTAAATGCTCCAATTTAAAAGGTAAAGGCGGAAACTGAATCACCACAATGGGATGTCAAGGTTTCCATTTTCTAATGCATTTTGCCTTGATGGTGATTCACCTTGACAGAGGACAGCCACAAGACCTAAAGTGATCCATAGATAGTAAGTCTTAAATAAGAGCAGAAATCTCAGCTTAGAATAAACAGCCACTGTCTCCAAAAGCTTTTTATCTTACACGAGAAAAAAGAGAGCAAACTGTAATGATAATGATAAAAATGCATCTTGTGCTAATATTGGTGCCTTTCTACCCAAAAAGCATCAAGAAAAAGCCTAGGTTTCACATACTACACGATACAGAAAGAATATCAAAAGTACAAAAGTACAAAAGATAAAAGATTATCAAATTAATAACATGGTGAAATTCAAAAAAATCCTTAAAGAATAAGGATTTGTAAAAAAAAAGAATTAGACAAAATAGGTTTTAAAGAAAAGTCAGCATAAACCAAAGTAACTGAGGATTGGAAACTTTTAAAAATAAAGAAGGCTTAAAAAGAGTTCAAAAAGACTGAACAAAATGGCATTAGAGACTAAAAAAAGATTTCAAAGCATGTGATTTTGGGGGGATTGGGGAAAAGCAACGAGGGAGTTACAGTATGTACCTAGAATGCATAGTAAAAACAGAACTTTCTGAAAATATTCATATGATAAAATTTCCCATCAATAAGAAGGTTTTCCACTGGGGGAAGAAAACTGCTGCCAACTAATCCATTCCAGTGTTTTGTTTATTTAGGGGGGGAAAAAAGCTTAAACATAAAGCAAAAACCTAAAACAGAAAAATAAAAAAGACTACATAAAAACCTAAAACAGAAAAATAAAAAAAGACTACATAAAAACCACTTTCATGATTATTATCTGGCTTGCATATAATATACTTAATGGTCTCTTGCAACCACACTGCTACTTTTGTGATTAGTAATTTTAAGAGGAAAAAATCATCAAGAACAATTCTTAACAAAATATGAGGTCCCTTCCAGCTCTAAATTGATGGTCCTCTGATCCTAGTGTCACAGAGTCATCCCTTTATCAAATGTACTTTACCTGCTTTCTTGAAGTTTCTCTTTTCATCCAACTGATTTCATACAAGAATTACTTTTTAAAATGTTAAACTAGTATATGATCTCAACATCTTGTAAATAGGCAAATTTTCTAAGTGTATATTTATTCAGTCCTAAAATGACCATTTTTTCCCATGGCCAATTTTGTCATCTAACTAGCAAGATCACCTTCAGTGTCTAGTCTTTTGTTTCTGCCCTGAGAAGAACTTAAAGCACTTTTTCAATTCACATATATAAAGCTGACAGCAATTGGGAGGGAGGGAACTTGTATCAATGCTAAAGCTTTATTTTTATGGGCATACATAGTTCAAGGAAACAAACAAACATCATCTAGGATACAATAGAGCAATTCATTACTGCTTAATGTGTACATTGGCTACAAAATACATATAAAGGGTCTCTTATACAGCTGCTGGTTTCTAAAAGTTGTGTTAATTTTTAAAATTCTGATACTATTACAATCATGAAGCTGAACCAAATTTAAGACGTAGGTTTTTCACTGAAGTAGTTAATCTAACAGGTCTCTCTAGGCCAACCTGAGAGGGATGCGTCCTTTTCCATTTTCTCCAAAGTAGTTTTGTTCAATTCTTCTACAGAAAGCAAGGAGGTTGCTGTAATTTTTCACCTTTTCAGAGAGTTCATCGTTAGTCAACTGAGTGGTAAGGATTGTGAAGAGATGGCCAAACACTAGGGCATCAAGTTCAGTTGGCCTAAAAAAACAAGGAAAGTGTTGACAAAATGCAGCATATCTTACTTCCCAACATTTTTCTTAACATATTTCCACTGGCTGTTTTAAATATCAAATTTAAACTACAATGTAAAAAAGTATGAATATTTGTTTTTCATATCCTAACATGTTACAATGGCAGATTCATTTATTTAGCTTTGAAAAGTTTCTTACATAAAATTATTCACAAATTCAAAAATAGTCACAGAGAGGAGTAAGTAGGTCTTAAATTAAGTCACAACAAAATTGGACTGCATTTTACTTTGTTTTGCTTTGTAGTATATTTTAAAAAGATTAACCAGTTCTTTGATTTGTTTTGTGCAACGATACTATTCTGAAATGAGAAAACACATTTAGGCTAAAAGTTCATCAACAATTACATACATACATACATACATACATACACACATACATAAAATCTGAGTGTAATACATAATATTAAAAAAAAAAAGCCCTGTATTACTCTGGCTGTATCACTTTTAAGGACTTTATTCCAACTTTCTTTCCTCAGCACTTTTACTATCATTTCTTTCACAGATATTTTCCTCACACTTAACATGCAACAAATACTGTCCTTTCATTGTTTAATCAACTCAATAACCTAATATCAAAACATCTTCCACTATTAATTCAAACACCACCTCACCCCAGACATTTTCCCTCATTTTCTTGCTTGATAATGAATTTTCCCCTCAGACTTTATAAAGTACTTGGTTTTATAACACTCTAATGCACTTATGTAGTATAGTATTGTATATTATAGCTATCAGCTGATGTCTTATTCTCCCCTCATAGAATATAAAATTCTTAGAGACTGTGCCTAATTTATTTTGTATGCCATATCCTTTGCATAATTGGTGTTTAATACAGAAGCTCCTGGCTAATTTGGAATAGCAAAGAAATGTGTTGTCCCTTGTGTGCAAGGATGAACCTTGCTGAACCAACATCAGTAAGGTACAGGCACCCTATATATTCATAGGTCTTCCCAATATTCTTCTATCTGTGCCAGCTTCATTTGACAATGATAAGAATAAAATACGTAAGCATGCTTAAGAGGAAAGCTGAGACCATGAGCTATTCCCAAGTGGTCCCTTTAATTTAGTTAGGAAGCAAGCTACAGTACATGGAGGACTGGTCTTAGAGCCAGGAAGACCTGGCTTAAAGTCCCACCTTTGACACATCCTGACTGTGTAACCTAGGGCAAATCATTCAATCTCAGCGTTCTAGGCAATGCTCTAAGAAACAAGTAGCAGAAAAGGCACATCAGTAGAGGGCGTTTCCTCACCTAGGAGTTCCCTATAACAATGAAATCAAAGGTACAATTCCTGTCCTATCCTAATTAAGACAATGATTTAAATCTGTGGGCTACAAAAGATAGAAAGGTGAAGATGCAACAAAGGATTAATCCCTGAAAAGAATCAAAACTACATGGGGAACAAAAGCATAGGAGAGAAGACTGGGAAAGTTGAGGGAAGTATCTCAAATACTGATTTTCATATTTCCCCCAAATATTACTATAGCATTTTGCTTTATAGATTCAAACCCAAGGGAAGCTGAACTCAACTTCCTGCAGCCCTCAAAGGAAGGACCTAGATTATGACAAAAAATATGAAGTGTTTTCAAATTAGAGAGAGCTGGAAATGTATTTGAAATGTGCAAAATATTATTTGCTAGAAAGATCTATCTATATAACCCCAAAGGTGCTTAATTATGTATGAACATGACATACAAAAATTGATCTGATGCTACATAGTTTTTGCAACTTTGTGGAAAGTTACTTTAGAACATTTTCATAGGAAGTAGAACAGAGTTTACTGAAACAAACTAAAGCCAACTTTATTCGCATTTGTATGCCACTATTGTGGATCACATCCTACTCCAAAACATCAAAGCAATTTCTGCAAGTGTTTCATTTCAGAAAGTGCTCTATACATACAATGTACTCCAGTTTTCTTCTTTCATAAAATGTGCATTTCCAGCCAAATTCTGTCTTTCACCATTTAATAAACTCAATATAGTGCTGTTGCCCTTTCTCATTATCTTCTCTACACCACACAAAGTTAAAGGAAAACACAAGAAAACTCTTCTGCTTGCCAAAGAACATTTGTTGACTAAAACTTGGATGCATAAAGCAATCACTTTCTAAGAATTTTTAAACCTTTCAAATATATCTCATTTATATTTAGAAAATTTACCAAAAAGATTCTGAGATGACATACAAATGTATTTGTTCCAAGCTACCTTTCCAGCCTTATCTTTAAGTACTCATTTTCACATACCTATATTCCAGCCAAAGAAGACTAAGGGAAGGGTATAAACAACTATTGAGCACCTACTATAGAACAGACACTGTGCTAAGCACTTTACAAATATTATCTCACTGGATCCTCACAACAACCCTGCAAGCAGGTACTATTATTATTCTCATTTTACAGTGAAGGAAAATGAGGTTAAGTGACTTGCTTAGGGTATCACAGTAAAGTGTCTCAACCTGGATTTGAACTCAAGTTTTCCTGACTCCAGGCCTAGCGCTATCCACTGCTCCACCAACTATTAGCTATTTCCCAAGTAAATTCTACAACGTCCTTGCTTTCATGTTTCTGCCCACATTCTCCAATGATGGAATGCCTTCATCTTCCCCATTTCTACCAGCTGAAATCTAACATCATTCAAAGCTGGGTTCAAATTCTGTCTCTTCCATGAAGTTTTTTTCTGATCACCCAAACACATGATCTCTCCAAATCCTGAATTCTCACAACACTTAATTTTTTATTTACATTACAGCTGCTGGTATGTATCTTATTTCTCCCCTACCTTATATCATCTGTTCTAATCGCCTGCTTTAAATATCAAAATTTAAACTACAATGTTAAAAGGTAGCCTCTTTCTAAAATTTCTCAAGTACAGCATTCAACTTTCTTCTCCCTTTTGGTCAAAATGTCTCTTTCCTGAACTTCCTTGATTCCCCCTATCATGTGGGCTTTGTTTCACAAACACCTCATCGCCATGCCCAAATGCTTAATTACCAGTATCCTGATTATACATAAGCCCTGAATATTTCCTTATATACTTTTACAATCCATTGGATGTTAGTATTGCTACATCTTCTATTACTCCAATATTTTATGATGTAAGTCCTTTCGACTAAGTAGTTCCTTTCCACAGCTGGTGTCCCCTGGGATGTGTTCAGCATATTGCACCCTTTCTTTCTCCCCAACAAAGGGTGCAAACCACTCGATAGCTTAGTAGCTAGTCTTCATGAGTTGCTATGGCCAAAAAATGTCCTTACCCAGTGACCAAAGAACTGCTGATGTTTATTCTTTCTTTTTTCTTTCCTTTACCGCTCCTCTGCTTCCCTCTCCTTTCTTTCCTACCTACTGCAGGAGCGGGACCTCCTTGAGCCATTTCTTTCCTTTTCTAAATTGGGTAAAGTTACTTGTATAACACCTGTTTCAAAAGTTTTTCCTATAAAGGCTATAAAACTATTGGTTTCTTTGAGAAGGAAAAAAGTTAAGAGGGTAATAGTTTTAACTGTTATTCCATAAATACCTTACAGAATCAGGAGAGATAATGTGAATTTACCTTTGATCTATGTAAAAGCAATGAAGAAAGGAGGTGAAGAGAAACGTATTTCTTGTCAGAACTATCTTTAAATTTTTTTTTTTTATTTACAGTTCTAAATTTTTTCCCTCCTTCCACTCCCTCCCCTACCCATTTAGAAGGTAAGAAATTATATTCATTATGGGTGGCAGCTAGGTGGCGCAGTGAATAGAACACCAGCCTTGGAGTCAGGAAGACTTGGGTTCAAATCTAGCCTCAGACACTTGACCCTTACTAGCTATGTGATCCTGGGTAAGTCACTTAACCTCATTGCCTAGTCAAAAAAAAAGAAAAAAAGAAAGGAAGAAAGAAAGAAAGAGAAATGATATTCATTATGTAAGTGAATTGATGCAAAACATTCAACAATAGCCATGTTGAGAAAAAAAAGAATGAAAAATACACTTCAATCTCTATTCAGTGTCCATCAGTTTTCTCTCTAAAGGTGGATAGTATTTTTCATCATGAGTCCTTTTGAAACTGTTATGGATCACTGAATTGATCAGATTAGCTAAGTCTTTCATAGTTGATCATCACTACAATATTGCTGTTACTGTATACAATGTTCTCCTAGCTCTGCTCTCTTCACTTTGCATCAGTTCATATAAGTCTTCCTAGATTTTTCTAAAATCATCCCTTTCATCATTTTTTTTTTTGAGGTAACTGGGGTTAAGTGACTTGCCCAGGGTCACACAGCTAGTGAGTGTCATGAGTCTGAGACTGGATTTGAACTCACATTCTTCGGACCCCAAGGCCAGAGCTCTATCCACTGTGCCACCTAGCTGCCCTATTTATGCAGTTTTATAGCCCTTTGGGCATAGTTCCAAATTGTTCTCCAGAATGACTGGACCAGTTTCCAACAGGGCATTAGTGTCCCAGTTTTCCTACATCCCCTCCAATAGTTGTCATTTTCCTTGTCTGTTATGTTAGCTAATCAGACAAGTGTTGGGTGTAACTTCAGGGTTGTTTTAATTTGCATTTCTCTAATTATTAGCAATTTAAGCATTTTTTTTCACATGACTATTGATAGCTTTGATTTGTTCTTCTGAAAACTGCTTATTCATACCTCTGACCATTTATCTATCAATTGGGGAATAACTCTTATTTTTATAAATTTGGCTCAGTTTCCTATATATTTCAGAAATGAGGATTTTATCAGAAAAACTTGCTGTAAAATCCCTCCCACTCCAGTTTCCTACTTTCCTTCTAATTTTGGCTGCACTGGTTTTGTTGCTTGAACTATCTTAACTGTTATTTTATGAAGAAACATTACAAAGAAAATCTTATGAGGAATAAGGAGAGAGACTACATGAACGAGAGTTTGAAAGAAGCTAATGAGATGCTTTCCAGTTTTGGTTGGAAATAAACTGAAAAAGACAGAGAGAAAAACATGGAAATAGCTTCTTTCTTTCTGAAATTACTGTAACCTTTACCTTGTAAAGAGACTTCAAGAGTCTGAATGAACAAAATAGTACAGGCCTATGGTGTCAGAAGGAGTCACTTGTTGTTGTAATGGGGGGCTGTGGTGACTCTAGCTGTGATCTCACAACTAATAAGTTGTAAATAATTACCTATGTCTTTATTGTACATTCAGTAACCTTAGTTTTTATTTAATCATGAAATTAAGAGATTTAATACATAAAAAGATATGAGTAACAATACTGGGAAATAAGTTTTCTCTAGCGTATTACATAAAAAATATTAGACTGGTTGGGATGGGAGCTCTGAGCTTAGCTGATTGAGAGATATGTTGAAATTTTAGCAATTATTGAGGAAATAGCTATACCTACTCCTGGATTATCCTAGCATTTGAGATGATAAGATTAAATAAGGGAATGAAAGAGGTGATAAGAGATGATACAGAAGTAAAATTGGGTCAGCCCAAATAACCTTGCTTCATTGACTTTTACTCAATACTCACAGCACTAACATAAGGGGAAAATTTATCTTCATTTTACGGAGGAAAAAAAGTAGTACATAAAAACAGTCATCTCCCTATGGTCCACAGTCAATGACAGAAGGAGGGTTATAATTCAGAATACACTGAAACTCAAACTTGGTCTGGTAATTTAGCCACTAAACTACCATGTTTTCTACAACAGGAATGCTTTAAGAGAAATTCTAGTTTAGTAAAGTGAAAAGATAAAACCACTTACTTGTTAATCAAGTTTATCTACACAGTATGATTATCAAGCAACTTAAATATACTGTGTACAATTCCTACTTTCTTTACCAGATTTTAACCACAATTTATAGTAGATGGCAAAAGGATATATGCTTGTCTAAACCTGGCCGAAAATAAAATTATTCTGGTGCTCCTGAAAGTAATTCATTTTCACATCAACCAAAAATCCTTCAACTCCTTAAAAGCAGGCCTTCTTTTTTTATACCTGTTCTGAATTCTGAATCCAAAGCTATCATTAAGAATTTAATTATAATTATACCCCATTATGATGAAATAGATATTTTGATACTTCTCTTAAATCAACTGCCAACTGATCTCTGATCATCAACTTATTTGCCTTTGAGTTCTAAGGATCAAACTGCTTGGGATGGTTCTCTATACCTCCCACCAGGATGCTGTGAATAACAAAAACAACCCTTCAGAGGAATGATGCACTTCAAACAGTAAAATACACCCCTTCTGGGTCTTTCAACTCTTAAGAATTCCTAAATTAGTAAGAAAAGGAACTACAGAGTAGCAACATTTGGTTTCTTTTGTGTTGGGAACTAAGCTAATGGAAAGAATTGCATAGCAAAAATCAAAGAACAGTGATTTCTTCCCTAGAACCACATGCATAACTGTAGGTTGTACCTATCAGGTTTTCTTAATTTGAACTTTGTGACCTTTCTGCTTCAGGGATCAATAGGCCCTAAATTGCATTTTAATATTTCTAACATATATCTTGTTTTGCTTGTGCTTCAGGTTATATATTTTAAATATTTAAAAGCTGGCCACAAAGCCACACAGACTAATAGAGTCTCCCAAATAAATGTTTGATATATACATGAAAATGCAACTTACAAAAAATGTCAATAATCAAACAGTAAAACTGTGAAAAATAAGAGTAAGAAAATTCAGTGAACTAGAATTTTAAAACAAACCCTTGGGTTTATGAATACTAACTCAATTTAGACACACTTGATCATAAAACCAGGTGGCAGAATTCTCCACAATATAATGACATATTTTAAAACTGTAATTCAGGAAGGGAAAAGAGAAAATTATATTCCATATCTATATAAGAAAATGATTCGTTGAAAAAAAAAGCATATATAAAAATCCTTTTACAATAAAACATGAAATTTATAACATCTGTATTTGTAAGTTTGTAGTCCTTTATCTTCACTTCTTTGTTGTATAAACACTTTCATTAACTTTAAAAAACTTTGATGGCAATAAATAATGTTGTTCCCAATTTACATAAGAGAGAGTGAGTGAGTCAGTGAGTGAGAGAGTGTGTGTGTGTGTGTGTGTGTGTGTGTGTGTGTGTGTGTGTGTGTGTCTTTTTAGCTTGCGGTACCTCACTATACAGAAAAGTATCATTGGGTTTTACCAGAAGGTGGGAGAAAAGCAAACAGCAATTTCTTCTTACAGGTACATTTTTTCGTGAAAGCTTATTTATTTCAGTTTTGCAATATATCTTACTCAGTTAACTGATCAAACTACATTTATATCAAGGATAAACTTTAACATGTTATATATCAGATCATTTTAATTTTACTTATAATCAATAATTCTTTAAAAAATTCTAACTATGACTTATTTTCCATAGATATGGTATTTTCTATTATTTGTTGCTTAACAACACTGAAGCTGTTAAATTAAAGACAGCAAAGAGATACATATTCTGCTCATTCACAGAATCTCATTGTCGGAAAGGACCTCAGAGACCACCAAGTCCAACCTGACTGACCAAGAATTCCCTCTACAATCTATCAAACAAGCAGTCATTTCAGCCTTGGCTTAGAGATCTCTCCGGAAGGGCTGCTTCATTTTTGGATATTGTTAATTGTTGGGAAGTTTCACTTTACATCAAGTCAAAACCTCTAATATGCTCCTGGTTGCACTCCCTGAAGCCGAGCAGAGAAAGCTGAATCTCTTTTCCACATGACATACCTATTTTCAAATGTGTGAAGGCAGTTTAATGAGGGGTTGGGGTGAAGAGTGAGATGGAGAAGTGGTATAAGAGAAAAAGTGAAGGTTCTGGAGTCAGGCGACCTGGGTTCGAATCCCGGATCTAGAATATCCTACCTGAATGACCTTGGACTAGTCATTTAAATCTCCCTAGGCTACAGGAGGGGGTTGAACTAGAAAATATCTAAAGTACCTAAAAGGTGTAAAGGACTTCATCTCAGAGGCCACGGAGTGCCACTCCCTTATTGTACAGATGAGGAAGCTGAGGGCCAGGAAGGCTGACTTGCCCAAGGTCACACAAGCAGTAAGCATCATAGAAGGGATTTGATCTTCTATACTCTTTCCCCCCAAGTATTTTCTTCTCCATGCTAAATATCTCCACTTCCTTCAACCAGTCTTCATTTGATATGATTTCAAGGCCTTTCATCATCCCAAATGCCCCACTCTAGGTTCTCTCCAAAGCATTTGTCTTTGCCACTACTGTTATTCCTTCTAGAAAAATTCACCTGAATATTTTGAGCTCTGTACTAAATAAAAGTGATACTGCATTATAATAAACTTCAAATTAATATCATACTTCTTATAGCCACCCATAATTGTCCTACATTTGTAGCTTATTTTCAAAGAAATTAGAGAATTTTATTCTATATGTACCAAACATATAGATGACATTATAACATTTCTATTAATCATGCCAACTTTTTGCAACATAGTACACTTTAAGCACAGTCACATGAAATAAAATTACTTACTGCTTATTGAAGAAATAAGGTTGTGTTCCTAGTCTTTGAGAAAGAGCTTGACAGCACTGGTCTACATCTTCCAAGACCTAGCATATTAAAAAAAAACCAGAAAAATAATGCTTTAATTACCTAAGCAATGACATTTTATCTGTAAAAATTCTTTCACATTATATTCTATAGTGGAATTCTGAATGAAGAGCAACATAAATGTAAACATAAATAGAAAACATATATATTTATAGAAAAATATTTTATGCACACACACATATATGTACATATGTGGTTTATGTGTCTATCTATAAAATTTAAGCCAAACTATATTCTAAATCCTCCTATGGAATGGAGGTGATTTGAGTTTCTCAAAGGCTCTGTAAGCTTTGGCTAGTCCAATCAAGCTGCAAAGATTTTTAAATACAGGTCAAGCATAGACCAAGACTACCCCAGCTAAGTCAGAAGAGGCACTTATCTCCAAAGAGTTTGAAATCAGGATGTCAATCTTTTGGACAAATCAACTAAGTGAATCCAACTACTGAAGTATAAGAGAGGTTATAATTTATGTCAGCGCAAGGGGAGGCATCCACACTAATGAAATCACAGCTCTGTTAAGGCACTGACGTCCAGTCCATCCATATCCCTAACATAGAAATAGTAGTTTAATAATACGGAGCACTCTGAGAGAACAGTTGAGAAATGGCTGCCTTTAAATGCCATACACTGAAATTCAAAAATTTAGAAATATTATCTCCAGGTAAATGCTATTTTTTCCAAATATTGCATATCAGATTAAGCAACAGGAGGAATATTTATTCACAGACCAATATACTTATATTATTCTGTGTACAATCTTGACATCTTTTCCCATCTCATATAACAGGTCTAGTTTACCATCAGTTGAACATGTCTGAATCGTTTTTCCACTGTTCCGATAAATTTTCTTTGCTCCATCCTCACTCCTGTAACAAACAGCTATTTCTGATGCTGCTAGACAAGGTTAAAGGTAACCATGAGTAAGGACAAAGTTCATTTGCCAACACAAGGACTGAAAATATTATATTGTCTGGGAGTGTTTACAAATACTGCTAATTCTTCTGTCCATTAAGTCAAAGGGAAGGAGGAAGATATGTTCAAAGTTGTATGACTATGTCAAAATACATACAGGATGTCCCAAAAATCTTAGTGCAGATTTAAGTTATTAAAGCTTAACATTTAAGTGTCCCAAAATAGCTTAAAAGTACACTAAGACTTTTGGGACACACTGTATTAAGGAGTAAAGAAATATGAGAAATGATTTCCTGGTTTTACAATGTTTTAGTATTTTACATACAAAAAAGAATCATGATGTCATTGAGGATCTTTTAAAATACATGAAAACTGTAGATATTTACTGGACTGACCTGATCCAGAGTCTTGTTACCCCATCCAATGGCTTTCATCTTGCGTTTGACTTCCCATTGCTTTTGATAAGCCAAGATGTGGTTCAGAGGCCAGGGATAAGGAAATCCATATCGAGAGTGAGTGATCTAAGTCAGAAGTAATTTTTAAAGGGAAATAACATTTTACTTCTAGAAACAAAAGCTTTTTTCAAAAAGAAAATTCTGGGAATATTGTGTATTTTGAAAGCTGATTCTATTTGTATAATATTGAACATTCTGTCAGGAATGGGAAAACAACAAATACTACCACGTTTCAAAGAATTAAAATTTTAAACCATTCCCTTTAAAAATATATAAACTTTTATGTACTTTACAACCAGTTATATCAAACAATGACACATAGCTTCCTTAAAACGTATATGCAAGCAAAATTAAAGTAAGTGAAAAACTATATCACTAATGGTATAAACCACAATGTTTCATTTATGAGCAGGGACTTGCAATTGTGAGCAAAAGTGTTTTCTCATTAAATTTTAATTAAGATAAATGTTGCAGAACCACTCACCTCCCCTACTGTAGCTTCATCACACCACTGAAGATACAACTAGGAACAAAAGAACATTCACTAAAACTTTGCAACACCAAAGAAAAACTAAATGAATAAAATGATTTCTTACAATTATACTTTTTATAAGCTACATCTGTGGGGCTTTTCCTCTGGGCTAACACTTCTAAATAGTCATTACATTCAAAGGTGATACTTTATAAAAACTATTTCTTATTCACAAAGCATATCTCTAAGGAGTTTAAACTGCTTTACAGATATTATTTAAGAAAACCTCAAAGAATCTCTGTAAAACTATGAGTAGATTTAACATAACAGAGAGGCTCAAACATGGAAGGGGCTTCAGAGGTCACCTATTAAAACTCCCTCATCTCACTGATGAGAAGTTAAATAACATGCCCAAGGTGACACAGGTCAGAATTTGAACCCAACTCCTCTCACTATATCCAGCAATCTTTCAACAGTGCTGTGCTATCCTATACAAAAAAATTTTTCACAGCAACTGTATTTGTAACAGCAAACTGAATACCCTTATTTCTTTAAAAGCAGAGAAATTCAAATAAAGCCAAGCAGCAAGGTATTTGTGGAAGTGGAGAGAACTCAAGTGTCTTCCCTACAGACTGTATTGGTCTACCCTAGAGTCTAATATAGGCCTCTAGATATCAACTGGCTAAAGTAGTGATAGAATACCATCCCTGTAGTCAGTAAAATCTGAATTCAAATCTGGATTCAGACACTTCCTGTGTGACCCTGGAATCTCTGTTTGCCTTAGTTTCCTCATCTGTAAAATGGTGATAACAAGAGCACCTGTCATGGGTGGCATCAGGATAAAGTGACATCACATTTGTAAAGGACTGTATAAATGTCATTATTGTTATTATTGTTATAGCACACTTGGGATTTTATAACACTTGCAAAAACACATTTATCAACTTTTTAAGGAAGGTTTCACAAAGAGGAAGAACTTAAAGACTTTTTATGAGCCAAACACTTTGCAAATTTTATGGAGCTACATAAATGTGAGCCATTATTACTACTACCATTAGAACTAATAATAATAATAAGCTTACAGGCATTTTTAAATGACCTAATTTTTCAAAACCTGGCCTATTTTCATCACTTAATTTAAAATAAAACAAAATAGATATTACTTTTTTTTTACAGGAAAATAAGGATATTTTCAGTTACCTTCTTACACAAAACCATACAAAGTTATTATTTATTATACCTCTGCTGTCAACAGCATATTATTGACTAATTCCATGTAGGCTTTCATTTCTGCTTTTTGGACTTCATCCAACCCATCACTAAGAGAATGGCCCTAAAGGGAATTAAAAAATTTTTTTAAAACATTATATTGTATTAAACTATATTAAAACTTCCAGTTATTTTCCTATTTGCTTATATAGCATCATGTTTTAACATAGTTACAATTATAAAGTATATAAAATCTTTACTATGACACCATGGATAAAACCTTATATTCACTGATGCACAACTATGCAAATTAGTTTCAGATACTTTCCTGTCACAGGAATATATGTATCTTTTAGCTGAATAGCAAAATAACTTAAATACTATAGTAGCTTACATTTGCCAAAATGTCAAATCTATCCACAATGCAATTTTTGGTTATTCATTTACTTCTACCCCTCTCCCTTAACAAAACAAAACCATAATGGTTATTGAATCCTTAGATTAATACTTGGGAAACTTGCTAATAATACTCTTCATTATAGGCTACAATTCACTCTAAGTAGGTGTAGCTTGGCTTGCCATCCAAAATTTAGCAAGTGAAATAAAGAAAGCAAATTTTGTTAAAAGGTGATTTCACCTATAAGGCAGCTCAGTGTACTTACAAATGGAAGTCAAAGCACTAAATATAAATACATAGTGCTTAATGCACAAATGATGCTTTTACAAGGACAAGAATGCAAGAAGCAAAGGCTTTTATTAGCTACAATTTTAAGGCTTAAGCATACAATGCATCTTTTCTAAAAGTACCATACCTGTTGCCAAGAAATAAAAGTATGATACAAAGATGTGTTAGAGCCGTATTCTTAATGGAATTGGGAGCCAACCAACGGCAAACATACATACAGCTTACAGTCCAAATTGAGTAAATTTAAGGTGAAGTAACTAAGGATGGATAAACTCTCCTATTTAGCAAATTTGACATTTTGTAATATTTCAATACTTTTTTAATGACCGAAGCTCTTATAAGCTACAGTAAGTTAGAAAAATATTTACAAAACTGCCATTTACCAATAATTTATAGTAGGAAAAAAATTAGTGTTTTAGAAAAATTTCCCCACTAGTTTATATTGACATTTCATAAACCTAGGTTAAAATCAATGTAAATGTTAAGACATGCTAAAGAATGATGAATGACTTATTTAACAGTAACTGTGATCAAATGCATTTAGTATCTTTTTTATTACCTTGGCTTTTACGAATTGGACTATTGGACCAAGTTCTGATACCACTTGATTTCCCACATGAATAAAAGGTACTTTACCTGTTGAGAAAAAAAAAAAGATTATTTTGGGGTAAATTAAAGTTTATATGAAAAAATTAATGCATTAATATACAAATTTGTTAAAATGGTGCATTCTGAATTCCATAAAAATTTATAATGATTTATCAACTTTTGATAAAGCCTATAGTTTTGAAAGAAAAAGAACAAATTGCCTGAGTCTGAAGTTTGACATCCACATTGTCTCCCAGTGCTGTTGTGAGGATCAAAAGAGATAACACATGTAGAGTGCTTTGCATGTCTTAAAACACTATGTAAATGTTAGTTGTTGTTACTGTCATCATCATCTTCTCTTCCTTTTCCTAGGCAATCTGGCAGATTATTATAATCCAAGAAATTGAGACTACTTCAAATCACTGGGAAAGGCATGTATTCAAAAATACTAGGCAAGCTCAAAAAAAAAAAAAAAAAGAAAGAAAAAAGATAATATACTATATTGGCAATAAATCCTCTCAGAATGCAGGCATGTTCTGATAGTATTCTTTATGATATGATTTAAAAGACATTTTTAAAACCTTCCATTTTAAAATTCCTACTGATTCTAAATCACTGAAACATGTACCAAGAATATTTAGTATCATTTATTTTTAATACTCTATTATTATGTCTCATAGTCACTTTTTCAAAGTCTATTAATCTGTGAACTGAATAATACAATATATTCAGCCAATGTGGGGGTGGGGGGTGAGGGGAAGAGAAAGAATTGCTATGGATTTTAAAAAACTGACCACCACATCAAACATTTAGTACTTTATTTCAAAGCATATCAAACCTAGGTAATAGTATTAGAATTTATATGAACAAAATATTTACCAAAAATGAAAAAAAAGTCTGCCTCAAAGGCCAATGGATGAAACCTGCTGTCAGACCTAGTTCAAACAGAGTTCACAGTAACAGCAGGCTCCTTCATGCTCCCTTTCAATAGATTTGTTCCTCTCTGGCTCACAGTCAGCCTAAGGGTAATGGATGAGGTGCACTGCACCAACAAAAGCCTCATCTGCATCCACAGCATAAAATGCATTACAAAAGAAATGCAGGGCTTTTTTTTAAACTACAACTCAATAGATTTATTTGGAACATACTTCCACTGTGGGCCAGTACAAGGAAGTAGTTTGGCGTTCCTGCTCCTCAAATAAACAAATCTTATTAGAAAAAAAAAATTCTTGTTTCTACTCAACAGGAAAACTTATGTCTCACTTGAAAATTCCTATACCAATTTAAGCTATAAATATACCACATCCTTCTCTGACTTTTATGAATGAAAATAATTTATGAATGAAAGGGTTCTATGAACAGGCTAAACTGAAAGTAATTTCCCAGTGAGCTTAATTATAAAATAAAATTTAATTTTTTTATCCCTGCCAAAAAAATAATTTGAGTCAATAATTACAACCAAGGATATGTGGGGAAGATGAAATACATTACTTTTTACACCACCAGCTTTGTTTAGAACTGGAAACAAAACTATTGCCTGATTATTTTGCAGGTATCTGACATCTACACACTGAGGCTGTCGTTGTCTGGCACCAATCATGTGACACTGTCTGAATTATTCTCTTCACAAAAGAAAACTCTGGGTGTCATGCTTTTCACAGGATGTAAAATAAGAGCTGGTCTTGCCCTGGTTTCTATTTAAAGTGTTCCCTCCATTTCTGTACAAAGTTAACAAGATCAAGACACCAAGGAAGTTTGAGGAATCATCTCTATTAAAGATCTTTAAAAGGACAGACATTCTGATTATCTGCACATATATAACCTATATCAAATTGCTTCCTAGTTTAGGGAAGGGGAAAACCTTGAAACTCAAAAAATTTTAAAAATGAACGTTAAAAATTGTCTTTAAAAAAAAGACAGATGTTCAAGATAAAGTATAGCCTTCTTTAGGAACAGGGGGATGAACTAGATGGCTTCTCAAGATTTTTTTCTACTTAATTTTAGTTACCGGTGTAATAGTCTCTTCCATGAGAACCTATGTTATCGTCTTTAAAACATTAGCTGTCCTGGAAAGGTCAACTGGAATTTGTGCTCAAAGGACCATTTACAGATAGAGTCACATACACAATACTTTCCACCTCACCCATACTGCAATGCCTTTCATAATGGAAAAAAAAAATAATAAAAATTCATTAGAAGTTATTACCTTGAATGTTGGACCTGAAAGTCAGGAAATCTAGATTCAAATCCTGCCTCAAGAACATCCTTGCTGCATGATCATGGGAAGGTGGTCACTTACTCTCTCAAAGGTACAGTTTCCTCATTTATAAAATGGAAATAATATTACCCTATCAACTTTGTAAGATAGTGAGGACACCGTACCACTACAAGTATGCAAGTATTTATTATTGTTGTTGTTATGCACTTATACCACTACAAGTATGCAAGTATTTATTATTGTTGTTGTTATGCAAGTGCTCAATAAAATGTTTGCTTAAAGATATCTCTGAGATTTGATGACAAAAATTACTGTTAACGCATGAGTAGTTCAGGAAATAAAAACATGGAAGCTACACTTTAAATGTGGGAATCTTACAAGTAGACAACTTTAAGTCTACAACTATAGATGGTATTCAAATGGAATGCTGAAGTGGGAAGAAGGTGAAGGGACTATTCTCATTCTCATCTTATTTATTTTATTGCTACACTTGGGATAGAAATGATATTTAACACTGCACTTCATTCAGTTGTCTCTACAATGATAGGATACTGTTTTTCCCAAAAAGCACTGCAACATATTTGCATCAGTTGGTTACTACCATCCATGAGAGATACTTCTATCTAGGTGTAACTATTGCCATAGCAAAACCAGTATTATAATAATCACGTCAGCTGCATTTGGAATTCATTTATTTTGGAGAGCACACAGAACTAAACTAGACTGTATTTTTTAATTAAATAAAGTAAGATGACTTAGCCCATGCTGTGTAATAGCATTTTAAACGATAAATATTATTTCTATTTTTGTCATTGTATATCTCAGAAACGACAACAGACATGAAAACACCAGAAAAGCAGCAATGTTAATATAAAAGCATCCTAAGAGCTACTATCTAAAAAAGCACTTTCAGCATTCAAAGAAATAAGAAAGATAGGACTAGAAGCCATGAGTTTTCAATTGGTAATTTAATGTAAGATCTATGCCAAGTCATTTTAGTTATCCTACTTATTGATGTTCTTCCATCTGTAAAAGAGTAGAACTGAACAGAAGTCTTGAATAGATTAATATTTACAAAATGTTCTGAAGATGAAAGACCCCTGTGTAAGGGCTAAATGTAAGATGACAAGGAAGATTTGAAGAATTTAGGGACCTAATTACTAGGTTACACACTCCCTTAACACCTAATTTTTTATAGCAATTTATATAGCATTCTAAAAATGGTCTTAATTTAAATGAGCAGACATTACCATCCTAATTAAGATTCTTGAGTTTAAATAAGGTTAATTTTATAACTCCAAATAATAGGGAACTGTAGGATAGTCCAAAAATTACAAGAGCATTAAAAGGATATTCTGTTTTTTTGTCTGGATTCAACAAGAATATTATTAACACTTTAGTGGTTTATTTAGTACAACTAAAAGAGCATATCACTTACCAGATGGAGACATGTATTCAGCATTTGCTCTACATACCACTGTGATGGGGAGCTCGCACATTTGCAAAAAGGCCTGGAAACCCGCAGAAGCAGAGTAAACACCAATGAGAATTATCATTCATTAAGGTTTCCTAAAACAAACTTCTGGCAGAGCAGTCACAGTTCAAACAAGTAGCACATTATAATATCTTTTTTATGGCAAGAAAATAAAATATGTATTGCTTTATAAAAAAAAAACAAAAAAACAAAAAACCACAATTTATATGAGCGTTGTCAAAACGATATGAAAAGATCCAGCAACACAATTTAGTTGTGAAGCACCTATTTTCCAAACACAAGCAAAATGTCAGTTTACTATTAAAAATCAATATTGCTACTCAGATACCAAGAAATAAGATAAAGCATTCTCACATCCTAAGGATGTAAATGTAAAACTGTGCAAATCTATTTTTTTAATCAATTTTTGTTATTTTAATTGTTCATGTTTAATTCTCTCTTCTTTAGCTCATTCTACTTCTCAAGTCTGAAAACCATGAAAAGCCATTGCTTGACTCCTTTTCCCCTTGAGTTGTGACTGATTTTCATTTTCTCTTGCTCCTCCGCACCCACTCTTAATGATCTTCCCAAAATGCTGACGATTTCTGCTGCTTCAATTCCTCTAATTTAATCCTTTAAAATCTGGTTTCTTTACCCACTAGTTCACTTAAAAATGTTGAAGGTCAATAACAACTTCCTTGCTGAGGCCAAGGTCCTTCTTTCATACCTTTTCACAGCCCTCACTTATCTATCTGGCCTCCTTGTCCAGGGCGATTCTATTCAGTTCTCTTTCCTAATGTTTTTGTCTGTCCCTGGTACAATACATGACTTCTCTTCACTTATCAAATACAGCAGTCCCTCTTCTTTTCTTCCTTTAAAATACTTTTTTCTTTTTTGGTGAAGCTCATGCTTCCATGTTTTCAATTGCTACCTATAATTTAAAAACTAAACTCTCCAGGCTGAAGAAAAATAATAAAAATGTAAACTAAGGTAAAATAATACACTAATTTATGGCTTCTTTTGGTCCCAACCTGTTACTTCACTGGTTTAGGACCCGCTCCATGAGGAATCTTCCTCTACTAATGCATATAAGTAACTGTTCTGAAATGCAGGGTCTTGGAGTTTCTTGAGCATTTTTCAAAGAAAGGAATCCAAGCTATTAACAAATATATGAAAAAAACTCTCCAAATTACCAATAATTAGAGAAATGCAAATTGAAGCAACTCTGAGTGTTTTACACACAGCAGACTGGCAAGGATAATAAAAAAGAAAAGAAAAGAAAAGAAAAGAAAAAGAAAAACAATAACTGTTGGGCTTGAGGGAGAATAAGCACACTAATGCACTGTTTGTGTTATTATGCACTGATTCTGCTATTCTGGAAAGCAATCTGGGGCTATACTCAAGAAGTCACTAAATAGGAACTATCCCAAGAAAATCAAAGAAAGGAAATAAGGTCCCAAAGGTATAAAATTAATTAGCTGTTTTTGTAGGAACAAAGAACTGGAAACTAAGGGGGAGTCCATACACTGGGAAATGGTTAAACAAATTATGGTATACGAACATAATGGAGGTTTCAGAGAAACCTTGGAAGACTCATATAAAGTGATGCAGAGTAAAGTGAACAGAGCTGAGAGACCAATTTATGCAATATTATAAAGAAACACAATTTTGAAAGGCTTAAGAATGCTGATCAATGCAATGACCAACTACAGTTTTAAAGGACTGATGATGAAGCATGTTACCCACTTATTCACAGAGGTTTTACAAAGTGATTTATATCTCCTTTTATCTTCACAATAACCCTGGGAGGTAGGTGTTATTATTATCCCCATTTTACAGATGAGGTAGCTGAGGCAGACAGAAGTTAAGTGACTTGCCCAAAGTCAAGAATAGAAAGAAAAGGTCTGGAGGAATGTCAAGGATCATTTCCTCTAATTCTTTTGGAATATGCTACCATCACCTAATATAATACCACAGGCTTGAATTCAAATAAATGTTTCAATTATTAAAGTCAGTTAACTTTAATAATACCTCTTAATTCTCAATCAAATTAAAACTTTTGATCCTAGGCTTAAGGTCTCCTATCAGTGCTGGCCCTGATGTGCCTAATTATCTATGTCTTTGTGGAAGATGGTCTTTGTGAACACCATGTCTGAAAAATTCATCACCCCCACAGACAACCTGGTGATGAGTCTCTCTGCACTTAAGGCTGATTCTTAGACAAAAGATAGACAATTACTGGGCCCTACTCAAAGCTTTTCCAATTTGGTATGACCTATAAGAGTTTGTACTCTGTTGGCATAACCTTGAAGAATCCAGGATCACCTCCATACCACAATGAGGCATAAAAATAGGAGTTTAATGGAAGTATAAATATATCTGATAAAAATTGACATTAAAAATCAATAAGCAATTAACCCAAATTTATAAATGTAAGGTCTATTCCCCAATGGATAAATGGTCAAAGAATATGAACAGACTGTTCTTAAAGATGGAACACAAATAATCAGTAACCATCAAAACATTTTTTCAAATTCTCTTAAAATCAGAGAAATCCAAATTTTAACAATTCTGATATGCCACAATATATCCAACTGGCAAAGAAAATTTAATGCTATAAAATTCAATGCTGGTAAGGCAGTGGAGAAAGAAACATGATTCCACTGCTGGTAAAACTGTGAAATAGTACAAACTTTGTAATGTAATATGGCAGCATATAGCAAGAGTTACAAAAATGTTCATGATTACAAAAATTCTCTCATAAAGTGATTCCAATCCTGACTATAGACTATTTTTTGAAAAGAAAAAAATATGTTATCAGATTCAGAGTTGGAAGGGACCTCAGAGGTTATCCATCTCAATCCCTTCATTTTACAGTTTAGAAAACTGAGTCCCATTGAGGTTAAATGATTTGCCCAAGGTCACAAAGCTATTAAGATCTAGAATTCAAACCCAAGTGCTCTCAGACTCACAAATCCTGTCATCTTTCTCTCTTCAGCTACCAAAGTGATTTTCTTAAAGCTCAGGTCTCTTCTTCCCTTCCCCCTCTGCCCCTGCCCCCCACAGCCTTTCCCCACTCAATAAACTCCAGTAGTTTCCTATTATCTCCAGGATCAAATACAAAATTTTCTATTTAGCATTCAAAGCCCCTCATAACTTTGTGCCCCTTCTACCTTTCCAGTCTTCTTACACCTTACTCTCTTGCCATATACTCTTTGATCCAGTGACACTGGCTTCTTGGCTATTCCATGAGCAATAGGCCATCTTTCAGCTCTGAGTATGTTCTTTGGCTGTCTCCCACACTTGGAATGCCCTCCCTCTTCATCTCTATCAATTGCCTCCCCTGACTTCCTTTAAGTCTCAATCAAAATCCCATCTTCTAAAGGAAAGTTTTCCTAACTCCTCTTAATTCAAGTGCCTTCTTTCTCTTAGTTATTTCCTATTTATCTTGTATATAGTTTCTTTGTAAATACTTGTTTGCTTGTAGTCTCCACCAGTAGATTGTGAGCAGGATCCCTGTGGGCAGGAGCTATCTTTTGCCTCTTTTTGTATCTCCAGTGTTTAGCACAGTGCCTGGAACATGTAGGTACTTAAAAATGTCTACTGACTAATGGACTAATTTTTTTCATAGTACCATGTGCTGTACAAAAATACCCATAGCCATTTTATCTGTAATAGCAAAGAACTTAAAAGAAAACCTAAACCCTCAAACTAGAAATAGCCCATCTATCCAACAACTGAGTAGTAGTTGAATAAATTGTGCTAAATGAATATAATGCTATTATTCTCATGTCATAAAATGTTAAATATGAACATCCAAATATGCAAAGACTTGTTGTTTGTCCTTCATTTTCAAAGAGGACCAATGACATAAAGCAGATTGAAAAAAGCAGAATCAGAATAATATATATAGTGACAATGACTAAAATAAATAACAATAAATATTTATGCAGACAGAAGAGACAAGAAACAAACATGGGATCAAATCAGTTTTTAAAAATTATTTGTTCAAGTTGACAAGACATTTTAAAAACTGAGCATAAATAATTTAGAATTTATAATTTTATATATAATCCTTTTGATTTTTAACAAAATGTTGACAGTTACAAAGGTGATGGTTTTGTTTATGGTTACCAAGTTTAATATAATTTTTAAAACATTTTTCATAGGTCACTGTGATATTTCAGTTGTCCATTAGTTAATAAGTTCTATAGTTTGTAAAATTGTAAACCGAGTATCTTCTTGCTGATACTACCATGTATAGTGGCAATGAACCAATAAATAATCAGAAATGCCATATTTCACAAGCAAATAAGATGCTGAACTTGATTACAAAATAAGTCTAGGACACTTAATCCCTAGTTTTTTTTTCTTTTTTTAAAAAAGCAATTGCTGTTTAATTTTGTCCAATTAAAAAACCCTGCAATTCTTCCTATAGTAGGACACCATAAACTATATCATTTTAGTCAGGATGAGTTAAATATATGCTGTGTATGTCTTCCTCATCTTTTGATTCAGAAGAGCATTTCTGATTCACAGAATTCAAAAAACTAAAACTTATCAGCATGTTTTTTACAATAACAGCAGTATCACAAATATAGCTTTCTATTTAAAACTTTTGTTAACCTTTAGGGGGTCAGGGAGGGGATGCTGTGTGCACATCTGTGACTTAATCAGCATGGGAACTTCCAGTGAATCAACTCCCTCTACCAATACGTATCAACAACTGTTCTGCAACTTAGAACTTTCAGGCACTGAAAGGTTGAGTAAGTGACCTTCCCAGAGTACAAGCATTTCTCGTACTGAGCTTCATTTTATTGCACTTCACAAATACTGCATTTTTTTAAAAAAACAAATAGAAGGTTTGTGGCAACCCTGATTTGAGCAAGTCTATTGGTGTCATTTTTTTTTTATTGGTGCCATTTTTCGAACAGCATGTGCTCACATCATGTCTCTGTGTCACATTTTGGTAATTCTCACAATATTTTAAATTTTTTCATTATTAATATATCTGTTATGGTGACCTGTGATCAGTGA